GCGTTGTGAAACACGGGTGCACACTAATCGCGGTGATCTCTTTCCCCTTCCTAGTGACTGGTTCAGCCATAAGCCTGTGAGGTAATTCTGGCCAGTGAGTTGTGAAGGGATGCTTGTTGAGGGGAAAGATTTTCTGGCTGTTAAGTGGGACACCCGGGACGAGACGTTGTCCTGCTTTTCCTTGCAGTGGCCTTCTTGTAACCATGTTTATCAACGCCTGCGGGCAAGGTCAGTATACGAAGCACGTTGGAGTGGAAAGACCGCACCATCCTTGGAGATGCTCTATATTTGGATTCTTTTTGAGATATTTACTGTCTTTATTGTTCAAGCCCTTTGCATCAGTTTTATGTTCTGTGCAGCAGACACTCTTCTGTTGAATTTGGTACTTCTTATAGGTTAGTGGTTATCTCCTTATCACCAGAAGTCAGTCATCCATGCTCAATCAGCAGTCCATATGGGCTATTGGTACTTTATTGCTCTTGTTACATTGGCACTATTCCTGGGATGGGGGGAGGCGCAGACAAGCCATTTGACCTCTCCCAGGGTCATGAACCTGTTGGTCCATAAAAATCTCCTAGGTTTTAGCAATGACCCCTTGGGAAGGAACCCCATTGCCTGATCCTCCCCCCTCCCCCCCCCCACTGCACACTTAGACACAGAGGCTTGTGCACACGTGCTTTCTATGACTTGGTCCTTGGCCCTGAACCCTTGGCTTGATGAGGTCTATTTTTGCCTTGCCATAGGTCTTCTCTACATTGGCTTTGGGGTCTTAATATCTTTCCTTGACGGGCTATTTGGACTGCACATCCTGGTCTTGTAGCCCCATGTTGCCCGACAGGAATGTTCCACTCCCTCTCATCCTCCACACCCTTTAGCCCTGCTAGTTAATGAACTAACTCATGAGTTTGCCCCGCCCGGCAGGGGATTGGTTTTGGAGGGATGGTACTGTGCATGGGAATCAACATTTGTACATTGCTATCAGTTTATAGTGAGCCTCCTGTTTTCACATTCAGGATCTCAGTGGAGATCCTTAGAACCACTCTGATAGGGAGAAGAGAACAGATATTATGTTGTTATGCCCATTTTCAGACTAGGGAACTAGAACAAAACCAGGCTTATATCCATTTTGCTGATTAGGATTTAGGAAAAAAATCCAAGTTTCATGCCTGGTAACTGGAGTGACCAAAAATCTGTTCCAGTCATACTCGCTTAATTCTTTATGAAGATTTTAAGGTATGTAATTTTTTTAGGAAAGTATGTTAAAGTAGTAATTTTTTTGGCGACAATGAAAAATGTGCTTCCATAGATGATTTATCCTACATGTGAGGTGCACAAGCCTATGGAAAGAGAGCTTTGTCTGTTTTTCTGACTGTAGGAATTATCTTCATTCTTCACCCCCATTCATTCCTTAAGGTTCAGCAGGGTGCCTTTCACTGCATTGTCCCATTGAAAGTCTTCTGTTAAGTTCCGGGGGACTCCTTAGTTGCCATATCCAAAGGGGATTCATTACCTTAGCATCTTGGAACAGCATTTGACTCTGGTGGTCCCTCCATCCCTGAAGTTCTGTCTTCTCCCACCCCCACCTTCCTCTCCTGGCCATTCCTGACTTTCCTTGCAATGTTCTCTTGTTCTGCCTGCCCCTTGGATTTTCTTCTTACTCAGGACCTACTATTGGTTCTCTTTACTTCAACTGTCCAAAAATCTAACCAGGCCATATCTACCACCAGCTCATCCCTCTTTCGTGAGCTCCAAAACCACCTGTCCAGCTGCCTACTGGACATTTCCACATGGGCGAACCATTAGCATCACAATGCATCTGCAAACTGAACCCATGATTTGCCCCCACTAAATCTGCTCCCCTTCTCATATCCTCTTATCTTCCTAAATACTCACTTGGTTGCAAACACCAGACATGGAGGGTCACGTGTAACACCTTTTTTCCTTTCAATTCTGGCATCAAATCAGTGGGTCCTAACAGCCTCTTAAATCTCTCTCCTGTCCATGACTCTTCTCCATCCCTCATCTCTCCCCCTGGCTTTGGGGAGCCAAGTTCACACAGACATTTGCCTCTGTTTCCTGATTAGCTTCCATATCCCTAGTCTTCCGTCTTCTGGTCTATCCTTCCTGTGTCCCTAGACAGACTTTTCTGAGTTTGGCTTGTGCTTGGCTTGCAAGGTTCCTTGTTCCCTGGCACAGTCCTGCTTGTTTAATCTCACTTCCCCTCCTCTTCCCTCCCACTGTATGTTCTGGTTAAATCCAACTCTGTAGTTCTCTAAACTTCCCGTGCTTCCACATGTTTGTGGCCAGTACCTGCTCCATTCTATGTCTGGGAAAGCCAGGGAAGGGCTCAGCGTGGAGGTGACCATTGAGTGGAGATGTGCAGACTGCGCAGGAGGGTGCCTGACCCGCAAGTGGGATCCTCGGCTCCTGATCTCAGGGAGTTTGTATTTCGGTGGGAGATAGATGTATACACAGTCGAGGTACTTTGTGGTTACCGCTGGATGAGCACTTTGTTCAAACTGCAGGAAGGCAGTGAAGGGGGTCTGTGAGTAGGATAACCTCTTTCCAACTCCACTTAGAAAAGAAAAATGACTCCAGCTCATCTGCATTTACAGAATAACTAAGCAAACTCCTCCAACGCACAGGTTTGAACATGGTACCTTGCGTGTCGCAAAATAAACCTAAGTGGGGCAAAGAAATGGATCAGGACAGTGTGAGACAAACCTGAAGACCAGGGGGAGTCTTTCTGAACCACACTCATGAGATGCTCTTTATTTTACTGCATTATAACAGACTTCATTTGCCCGCCCCTCTCTTTTCTTGCATGTTCGTGCTCCACAGAACTCGGAGTCAGGACTGTCACCTGTTTCTCTGATCTGTGTCCTTGAGTACTTTCATTCAGACCCATGGTTTCAGTTGCTACCTTCCCAGATCCGTATGTCCAGCTGGGGTCCATCAATGTAATTGCTCATGAAACATCTCTGCTTGGAAATGTCACAGCGATCTCTGTGTCACCATGTCCCACCATCTTCCCTCTATTTTCCCACCCCTCCTGTAGACCTCCAGCTCCTCTTCCTGTGTTCTTTTGTCAATACTACCCAGTTGTCAAATTAGGCCACCCGGGAATCATCCTCCATTCTTGGATCCAACCTATAACCAAACCTTTTCAACTCTACTTCCTCAATAGGACTGCCAGCTGTCTCTGCCTTGCCACCACCCGGTGCAGGCCAAGTCACCGCAGTCCTGTACAACAAGAACACCTAACTGCATCTACCTTCCCTACCCCAGTCTGCCCACATGCTTGCCGACGAATCCACAGTCGAGTAAGTGATCTTTTAAAAATGTAAACTATTGTGTCATCTGTCCCTTACCACCCAGTAATGCTAGTAGAGTGTGGGGCTCTGGACTGTATCCCAGGACACGAAAAGGATACTGGTAGAAAACCCATGAAATCAGAATAAAGTCTGAAGTTCAGTTGATAGTAATGTGCCACTGTTGGTTTCTTAGTTTTGATAATGTACTGTGGTCACAGAAGACGCTAACATTGGCGGAAAGTGGGTGAGGAGTACCCAGGCGCTCTCTGTAGTACTTTTGCGACTTTTCTGTAAATAGGAAACGATTCCAAAATTAAGTCTATTAAAAAAAATTAGTGGCACCCATTTTCTTGATGTTAGAGTACCAAATCCTCAACATGACCAGCTTTCTCCCTCTAGCCAGACTTATTTAGTTCTTCCAGTGAGATAAGCCTCTTCCTTGCCTCCAAGTATTCATAGTGTCTGGCCCATTAATACAGGCTTGATAAATATCTGTTGAAAATTAATGTACATTTTTAAAACCAAAAGATTCCCTATAAATTTGGGGCTGGATACATCTTGAGAATTTGTAGGCTGAGTTGGGGTTTTAGGAGGAATCAGGACAGCCAAGACAGTACTTGAACTGTGTGGTACGTGACTGTCCCATGCTCTCCTTACCTCCCTCTCTCTGCCCTCGGAGCCTGTTATCCTTGAAATTCAGCACCAGCCCCCTCCCAGCTCTGGAGACCGGGTGCCCATTTATGTTAATGGGAGAAAGAAAAGGGGTCTCCTCCCCTCCTCAGAACTGTCTTCTCCCACCCACTCTCCCCCTGTCGTGCCTCCCACAACCCACTTATGGACCATAGTGGGTTTCTGGAAATGGTGCTGCCTCCTTTCAGGTCATAATTACTCGAGTTATTCCAGTGGCAGGAACTTCAAGTCACGTAAGAGGAGCCATGTCAGGCTGCCAGATGGTGGGGGAGATAAATGTGGGCAAGCAGGCTTCAAACTAAAGCAAGGTAGAGGGGATCAGATGTTGTAATCACATTTGAGAAAAGGAGTCAGGTGACCCTCATTACATATTATAGCGCCCTGTTATAATATCCCTTATTATTACTTGAACTTGGATTTAACCTGGGACAAACCCTTCTCATGCTTCTGCCTTCCCACCCTAGATCTCTTCCCCTGCAAAGCCATCACCCTTAATAATGGTAATACTAAGAAATAACTGTTACTAATTACTTTAGATCATCATTTCATCGAAGATGTCACAACCAGAACATTTTTTTCCCAGTTTTTCAGATGAGCAAACTCATTCCCAAACTCAAGGTCATATGCAGCTGATAACAGACAAATTTGGGATTCAAACTCCAGTCTTTCTGGCTGAAAAACTCTTGTTCTGTTCTCCTGCAATGATGTTGGGTGATTTGCTCTAAACACTCCATCTCTTAATGAAAAACATGAACGCAACAGGTCGTAGGGGCAGTGAAGGCAGAGCATTAGGGTCCTAATCCCAAGTAGGCCCTCCAGAGGGGACGGTGGAGGAGGGGGGTGGGCAGCAGGGTGGGGACTCAGTGGGATGTTTCTGTTTCCTCCTCATGTTTTGGTGACGAGCGAAACTCTATTGCCAAAACCCATCTGGGAACAATGTTTGAAACATTCTCCCCCTCCTCCCCAATACCGGTTTTCTTCGCACACTCCAAAACGAGACAGAAGAATTTAATACATTTAATGCTTTTCCTTCCATTTACACTATCATAAATTACAAAGTATTATTCACTTCACAAAATAAAACCATTTTCAGATAATTCTTTGACAGTATCAAGAAGTACAGAAGCTACAACAAACAAGTCTGTACAGTTGGGAGAAATCATCATAAAGCAGGGACCCAGCAGAACCATTTTGACCCCCCTCCCCCGTGTGCCAACGGAGCCCATCCGCGTGGTCCCTGGGACCGTCCGGGACACCAATTGCACTGCCCTCCTCCTTCCGGCTCACTTCTCACACAGTAATTCTCTTCTGGTCGCCCAAAAACCAGACCACTGAGTAAGTACATGGATTGGCTCAAGACAATCAAGAGGAAAAGACACTGTCATTGGATTGCAGAAAAACATTAGATTTACAGGTTTTGATGCCTTAAATGTTTTGCCTATGTTACAAAATATAGAAATCTTGCCGTGAAAAGCTCATGCTAAGATAAATATAACCAGTACGATGGAGCTATAGTAATAAAGTCAAATTATCCGTCCAGAGCTACTTTATCAAGGAGGAACAAATATTTGTAAAAAGCCAACTTACTCATTCTTACTTTTAAAAATAGTCTTGTTTATAAAACAAAAATGAAAGAAAAATCAACAATTATTCTGCAGATTCACTCTTCATAAATACAGAAATGTGACAGACATTTCCAAATGAATGAAACAGGGATATTTTTACGTGGCCCAGATTCGACCAGTGTTCCCGAATCATTTTATGTAAAATGACCACATTCTGCCTATTCTGGGATATTCACACATGATATAGAAAGACTGCACCCAATGCCAAAACCTACTTGGGGATTTCACGACGTTGTTATGGAAGGAAAACGCACGGATGTTTCCGACTGTACTACAATTCCTATAAACCTATACCGCAAGACAGCAAACTGCCAGTGTGCTTAACAGCAAAAACGATCAAAAGCGGGGACACAGGTGGCTGGTGAACTTTCATTGCGAAGCACGGGTAAGGACAGAGGTATGTCAAGATAATACTGCATTCATGGTAAACTTTTTCAGGAATCACAGCAAGAAGCGAGACAAGGTACACGGGGTCATAATCAATGCACTGCATTGAGTTCTATTTGCCGAAATAAAGTAACATTCTTGCAGCTAAAATAAAAATCCATTTTACAATATAAGTCTCATTTAACATTTAACATAGAATTGTCTTCTTTTTGTAAGTGGAAAACGTATAACTGTATCAAGTACCTCTATGAATTAAAATTCCCTTTTATTACTGATAAGACTGAAGCTTAAAGGTCTGCGTTGCCTTTTTTAATAAGTTAGAGAAAGATTAATCACTCTTCCAGCAAAACAGACATGTAGGAGGCACGACGAAGACTCATGACAAGGCCCTTGGTCACTCTCACCCCTGCTCTTCTCACGTGGACGATGAGAGCGTCTCTGAGACACAGGAGCCATCTTGACAGTCCGCTGTGGTCCAGAAAATGCTGTCACTTGTGTGGAAAACAAGCCAAGTGTAAGAAATGCTTTTACTCCTTTAGCCTTATCAGCTTAGACGGGGCCGGGGCCATTCAGCTCACTTTCCTGGTAGATTAAAACAAAACATCTTCGTTTTCTATTAAAATCTGCACAATCAGCTTTTGGTACCGCATGTCTTGCAGGGTGGTGAGGGTGCTGTCCTCAGGGGACCTCATCAGGGTGGGCCCGAACACGATCCCCAGGTTTTCAGCATTCATGAAATTGTCCTTTTCATTCAACGTCACCCTATGAAACGAGCACATACACAGAGACGTTACATGGACTTGCAGAAGGATGTATATCCTGGTGATGCCCGTATGCTCCCGCGAATTTCTCCGGTTTGCGAAAGTTGTAAAAGAAAAGGGAGAATCAGAATTATAGAAAAGTATTTTTAGGAAGGTAATTGTCTGGTTTTGTTTTCCTTTCTAGATCGTGGACACTGCTTGCGGCCTGTGGAAGTGAATTACTTCGCGAATCTGGTACAGATATATCTTTAAAATGAGAAAATCAGTCCTTCCTAAATAAATCTGGGAATGCGATTAGGGAATATTGGTTGGAAGGTGCAGCAGGTTTCTAGCTGGCCCACAGTGCATGCAGATTTTAGTCTGGGCTTGTATGGAAGTCTTTTTTTCCCCCATAGCTGCTTCCTACCGGTCTGTGTGCTCATAATCAGCGAAGCTGATGGCAGATTCCTGGTGTGCTGGCAGGCTTAGTATCAGAGGAGCAAGGTTACTGAAGGATGGGACTGTCGTGAGTGTAGGAAAAGGCAGACCATTATCACGGGACAGGGGAAAGGCTGGAAGGTGGCCAGACAGGAAAGCACTTGGACATTATTTCTGGTTCCCACAGGATGAGGTCTGGAGCAGTAATTATTGTTGGAATCGAAAATCATCATTTCCACATCCAGATGAGAACAGCAAAGCCTTTAAGAATAAAATTCCAACTCCAGAGTTGGCTCCCTGTCTTCCTAGTAGAATAAGATTACAGTCTCCTAGATTCCTCCTTTAAGGAACAGAGCTTTTTGGATGTTCATAATGAACCTAAAAGAGAATAGGTTCTCGAAAGAAGGCAAAAGAGGATTAAACCGGGTTTAGGTTCTGCGTGGAAGGCCGTGCCTTTATTTCTATTCTCTTGGAACTGATTAAGATTGGCCACTTAGCATTATTTTAGGAAGTTCAACTTGGCTTGCGTTATTTTCATGTTACAAAGCTAAGGAGGTGGGAAGGAGGGACATTCTTCACTATCAGATTGCTCACATCTCCCCATTAAGTCAGGCACCACCACCCACGCCTGGCCAGACAAGATGGTTAGCAAACCCTCCATGATAAAAATACTAAATTATTGGCATTAAAGGTCCAACTGGGACATATCAGCATTTTTCCTGATAATGATACTTTGCCTTCCAAACAATAACAGTTGGGACTCATTTCTTTCTAAAGAAATACTTTATAGCTAGTTAAAAACCAGGCTGGCCTTCATAGTCTATTACTTACCCAAAAATTACTCACACTTTTAACTTGAATAAATCAATCAAAACAGAAACCTTCCGAGCTAAATGTTATCACATCTCTGATCACCCCGAATCTGAGCAACAATGTTTAATAGGTTTTGTAAGGTAGAAAAATAGAAACGTCAACACCTAGTGTTTATACAGTATTCTCAGCTTGCTTCCTTTCGCTTACTGAATGGATTAGTCCTGAACGTAAATTAGTCCATGTAGACAGTTTTGGCTTCATTTTATCTGTGAAGGAGCTACGGCCATGGGTCTTCCAGAAACACAGAGGACAGCACACAGAAATGCCCTGATCCCTCCAACATCTCAAAGACCAACTCACTGACCTCATTATATATGTACAGTGAAGGAAACCCACAGTTGAGGTAAGAGAGTCTGGAACCAGACTGTAAATACCCAAACATCTCTGCAGATAACACAGTGCCTAGCTGTCTGTGGTGCATACCCTCTGAGCTGGCCCCCAGTCATCCCTGCCTCCTGGAGTTCATACTCTTGTGTAATCCCTTTCCCTGGAGGCTGGGCTGGACCTAGTGGCTTGCTTCTGACAAACAGAATATAGCAAAAGCCACTGTACGTCACTTCTGAGATTAGGTTACAGAAAGACTGTCTTTTCATGTTGGGTGCTCTTGCCTCCTCTGAGGGAAGCCAGCTGCCATTTTGTGAGCTGCCCATGGGGAGACCCACATGGCAGGGCATTGAGGGTGGCCTCCAGCAAACAGCAAGAAAGTGAGGCCTCCAGTCATACAGCCTTTGAGGAACTGAATCCAGCCAACCACCTCGTGAGTGAGTGTGGAAGTGGGTGTTCCCCTCGTGAGCCTGGCCATCAGTTCAACCATAGCCTCACTCTAGACCTTGAACCAGAAGCACCCAACAAGGCTCCACCTGGATGCCTGATCCCAGAGACTGCAAGATAGTAAATCTTGATCGTTTTAAGCCTCCAACTTTTGGGGCAATTTGTTACTCGGTGATCGGTCACTAACACATCAAGAGAAACAAGGGATCGGGATGGGAATGTGCTTGCCCAGGAGCAAGGAAGGTTCAGGAGTCTGGAACGAGAATGAGACGAGGAAGAACAGAATGCAGAGAGGACGGGGCATGTGTGGGAGGCACATGTGGATGTGGACGCAGTGTAGACAAATGGTTAAGGCAGAGTGTGGGCTCTGGATCAGACCGCCTGGATTTCAATCTGGTTTCACATTACCACTTCATGTCTGTTATTTTACCTCCTCAAATGTCCGCAATCTCATCTGTAACCTGAGGCCCCTAACAATACCTACCTCACAGAGATAACACACTAAAGTGGATGGAGCCCTGCTCATGGATAGGAAGAATAAATATAGTTAAGATGTCATTACTACCTAAAGCACTCTACACATTCAATGCAATTCCCATCAAAATTGCACCAGCATACTTCTCAAAACTAGAACAAACTATCCAAAAATTTGTATGGAACCACAAAAGACC